TATATTTTGATTTGTTTACCCCGGACGACGTCGGGTGCTCTGCTTGTACTATTTAAATAAATATTAATACGGCACAATAAAAATTTACAAATTAAATAGTTTTATTTCATGGTATGTTTCTTTCAGATATTGAATTTTAACTGATATTCATAAAAGTTATGACTCAATGTGAATCCCGAGTCCCGGGAAATTCAGTTGGGTAATTAACAGCTTGATCTTTGTCCATTACTGTATCAATCGATTTATATTCGACTGCTTCTCCTGGAATTTTCAATTGAATTTGACCGTTTAATTTACTAACATCATCGTTCTTCGGAGCTAAAATTGCACGTTCGCGGAGCCATTCCGGATTTCGGTAGTTGATCGTTAAGTTCGGAAATACTCTGTCGATGACGTCTTGAATGCTCTGCTGCATTTGACAAAAGTTGGACGGAAATGATATCTCATTTGTTGTGCGATCAATATGAACTTTACCGTTTCCGATATCTAAAAGTTGCTTTGAAAATATTTGGGCAGACGTATCTTGCAGCAAATGCACTCGCATATTTGTTGTGAGCGTAATTTTTTCGACATAGTTCCACAGATGCGATGCCTTTAAGCACGCGTTCAGCTCGTCTGCAGGCGTTGATCGTGGTATAACGGGTAATGTTTGACGAAAATCACCTGCAAGAAGTATAAGAGCGCCTCCCATCGGTTGGTCTTTTCCACGAAAATCTCGCAGAGTTCGGTCAAGTGCTTCGAGCGATTTCTTATGTGCCATGGTGCATTCGTCCCAAATTATAATTTTGCACGATTTAAGGACTATGGCCATACCAGAGTTTTTGCTGATGTTGCATGTAGGTGTTTCGGTCTGGTGCAAATTCAATGGAAGCTTAAGTGCTGAATACGCTGTACGTCCTCCATCAAGTAGTGTTGATGCAATCCCCGATGATGCTACTGCTACTGCAATCCCATTTCGCATTCGAACTGACGCCAATATTAAATTGATGAGGAAAGTTTTCCCGGTAACTCCTGGAGCATCTAGGAAGATAATTCCGCCATCTCCTTTGGTTACACGTTGCATGATTTTGTCATAAGCTTTTTTCTGATCAGCAACTAAAAACTCCTTTTGCGTTTGCACAAATCGTTCAAGCTGATTTGCATCAAACTGCTGTTCTCGCATCAAGTCTCTGTCTTGTACAGCATTTCTATCTCGTGTCGGTGCTGGCATACCGAGTTGACAAAGAGCTTTGTTGTTGATTGACATGCATAAGTCCTCCATTAATATTAAAGCTTCATTGAAAATGTCATCCGAATATTCCTGACTCGGATCGCTTGCACGTGCTTGTCTTAGAATATCTTCACTGAGGCTTTCACGATGCATTTCCCACAGTTGTCGAGGATTTGATGGTGCGCATGTTGTTAAAATTATCGCAAACAAAGTTCGTATTTGCTTTGGATGGCACGTGAGTGATGCTTCGGTCAGAGTTGTGTTCTAATTCTGATCATTCTCAAGTAAGCCCAGTTTAAAGCACGCTTCTCTGTACGTTTGGCATTCTACTCCGTCGATGGTTTTCAATGCAAGGAATGATGTCGGTCCTTTGATTGTATGCAGCAACAACCGCAAATAATAGCACTCGGCGTTATTTGGATGAACAGTATACACACGTCCCAATGCATCGGACGAATATATACCAGGATGCTCTGGAACAATTGCACCTCTTTTTCTTCTGTTGAACTTTTTTGTCGATGTGTTCCAAGTATAATATTTGGGCACATTTTGATACAGCAACCTTTTAGCAAAATTTTCGGATGTACACAATTCGAAAAAAGCAGTCAGTGTTGTGTTTTGTGGTTGCTCTGCTCTATTTTGCGCATTTTCTTCGGTGAAGTAAACCCGCTGACCATTTTCCAAATGAACAGCGAGATGTTGAACCGTTGGATATCGTTCGTGAATATTGAATGCAAATATCCGCCATACTGCTTCGTTACTGCTGATGTAGCGCCCTGTTTGATATTGCGTGATCTCATCACCTCGATTTGCTAATCCGAATACTGCCATGTCACTGCCTTGTTAACATATTTACAAATATATTTTATGGACTTTACCGAATTACAATACTCAACATTAATGTGAGCATTAAACATTTTTGAAAGTAGTGGCGAGTATGGCACGATCCATCTATTGTCTATGTCGATATCTACACTTCGCATCTTAATAGTAGTTGTGTATCCACCATTAGTGGGATTTCTTCGCCTATACAGAGGATATCCATCACCTCCAGTTTGAGTTTCAGTAATCAACTCACGTGGATATCGCTTTGTGCATTTGCCGTTGTGCATACATGGTGAATTAGGATTAAAAGTACCGCATGGCCCATGAATCATATTTTTCTTGATTATTTCAAAAAGAATGGGATCTTCGGCTTGATTTGGAAGCTCGGCTGATATAACGCTATCAATTTGTGTAGGTATAATTTTTTTGCTTCAACCAAATCAAAATGTGAGCGTGTGGTAAGCCTCTCTTTTGCCATTCAATTGAGTACATCCAGCATCGGGTTTCTCCAAAAACAAAATTCTTCGTGATGACATTCATAAGACTTATTAGCTTTTGCTTGAATAATCGAGCGAGAAGATCATGTCTGTGCGATGAGCTCTGGCCTGCAAACAGCAATTCGGTTATTTCACTCCACGATGGATTGCAAGTGAAGGTGATGAATAGGTCTGGTCGTCCATACTTTCGAACGTACGTCATAGCATCTTGCCCGTATTCGTGCATGTGCTGCGGGCTTCCCGTATATGTTACAGGTAAAATTACCATTTGTCCAATGTCAACAATGTTTCCATCATTAGCAACTGCATCATGTAAATGAACGTATTCTTCAACGCGCAGCTTCTTTTGATTTAAGCGATTGAAAAGAAGACGTTCACTTTCGACTTTCGCGTACATGTCCACAATAAACTGTTGGAATAATTCACGACATTTTAAGATATGATTGGATTCATTTCCACGAATCATAATGCGGTTTGCATAATAATCCATGCAGGACACTTTCTTTGTCGTCGCTTCACTTGTGCTGGGGTCGACTTGCCTGATGTTGAAATGATATCCTTCTTCTCCATGGGGAAACAGCACTGGATATTGGAGTGCATCATACGATCGATGTGTTTCCGATACTCTCTGCACATTAGCACTTCGCCGGTGGATAATGATGTCCCGTCGATCGAATTCGGTGCCAACTATTACAATTGCAACATCCCCTGTTACTGGAGCATTGAAGCGCCTTTCATGTTCACCAGCAGGAGCTTTGTCTGCTCTAATAACAACACTATAGTCATCTGATGGCATTTGATCCAGAGCTGTTTTAAAAAGGCGAATCAAATTGTTTTGTTCATGGAACATTGCCTGCAAGCTTGAAATGATCTCGCGTCGGATCCCAGAACTAATTGCGCAACGCTTGTCTACTTTCAGTGCATCATTTCCAGTGAAATAAATTTGCAGAAATTTCGCATCTTGTTGTGGCACTGCGAGCAATGAACCGATTTTGTGGTATATTTGGCCTTGAACTTTGAATGTTGGCATGTAACCGCCTTCAGATATAATTTTCGTTGCTCCAAACGAAGTCATTTGAAAGCAAGAGTTTTACTTGCGTATGTTTTTCAAAAAGTGGTTTGAAATAAGAGTTGTGCCAGAAAGGTAACTAAGTAGTGGTTCAGGTGCCTCAATTAACGATGGCAAAACTATTTTACCATTTGAACAACACATTCCTGGTGATTCCTTTGCAAACTTCAAAGCATGGCAATGCAAACAAACTTTATTCATCGGTCCAATGGCGACATCTGCTTGATTTTCGTAGTCTCTGTTTTTGTCATAATTGTATGCCGCCAACATTAAATGTGTTCTTTCTCTTGAATGGGTCAATCGTGATAGATTAGTGCGAAGCCGTTCGTTGCGTTGTTCGGGATTTTCAGAATCTCTGGAGGTTGAAGCTCTCACACGATTTTGTTGTAGGCGAGATTCTCGTTG